TCCTTGGTCAAGTGAGAAGAGGGGCTGGGGGAACCAAATCATGGTGCCACCAGGTATTGTAACTGGGAAAAGTCTATGTTGTATTATCTCTAACCATCACATAATTTTTTTTTTTTTTAAATCTAGTCTCCTTTCTAGCTACATGATTTTAAAGAGTCAATTTTCGCAGAATCACCAAAGGAAGTAAGAAACCAGGAAAACAAATGTTATGAAATATATTTCCTTCAAGCTGCCTTTAACTGACAACCAAAGCTAACATATTATATATACTAACCTAAATTCAAAGCAGTAACTGAATGATTTCCAGTATCTATGTTCTATCACCCTGAAGAAATGAACTGTTCCAAAATATTGCTTTCTGAAAGAAAAACTGCTATTATCGTTCCAATAAATAATTATATATGTGTGGTTAACTCCTCAGAGGCAACAGCAGACTGCATGATTTTGAAGGGTGTGTGCAGACTGTTTAAAGCACTGCTGTAGCTCAGACAGCACCACTGTTTTCACTGATAAGCAAAACGCACCAGATGGTGAGTGACGCTGCAGCCTCCTGAAGTTCCAAAATAAGACCAGGAGAGATGTTATAGTTAGAAAAGTGAGCAGTGCAGGAGCAGGAATCAGCAGGTTTGGTTTTTGGTGTTCAGGCAGCCACATTGAAGTGATCACCATCTCAGTGTATGATACAGACCCCTCTGTGACTGGAGGGTGGCACAAACTGAGAGCTGAAAGTTTAACAAGTGTGTGGGTTTGAAGTTCTTCATCTTCTCAGTTTCAAGCCATGGACAAACAGTTTATGGTCCTTACAGTAACCTGCACATCAAAGGTTATTTCTGAACATGTACATAAAGACATTTGTCATTTTAAAAAAAAAGCTCAAAGCTGGAATGAAAGAAATTTTAAGCCCAGACAGGAGAAACTAGGGACACTAAACTGCCTCTGTGGGCCATAACAAAAGCACAAGGAGAGAGCAAGAAGTTTAAAATGAGGTTTTGGTACTCATGATCAAGCTTGTCAATTGTTTCAGACTTCTTCTCCCTTGTATATTGTTACGAAATGCATTTGGAGGCAGTTTCTCAGTGCCAGCTGGTCAAGGTTAGGGCATAATCCCACCAACAGGATCCTTGCAAAAGGTAGGAACAGCATCACAGAACTCCAGCAGTCCTTTCCCTTTTAGTGTAAAAGAAGTTGTGAAGGAACCATGAACAGGGAATTTCTCATCTGAGAACCTCAGGAAAAAAGGTGGGCTTTGACTGGTGATCTGTGGCCAGTCATGAATCCTAGTGGATGGAGATCTTAATCTGGAATTAGAGTTCATTTACAGCTTTTATTACATGGAAGGAGAACATCATTTGCTCCCTCAGCAAGGTTCACTCATTTGATGGATTTCCTCTTGTTAGCTGAGGGTGGCACTAGCACCCTGTAAAGTAACTTTAGATTTGGTATAGTTCAGCAGGGGGGCCCAAAGACAGTATCTTCCCTGGGAACAAAACAGTTACAAGCTTGTACTATCACATAGTCCACAGTTTCCACAACAGGATGGAGGCTTGCCAAGTGCACTCTGTGATCACAAATTAGATTTAACAACCTTTACATTTTATGCTTACCAAAGCCCACTTTCATAATGGTATGAAAAAACAGGACCAGTATGAAAAGGATCAAAACAATCACAAAGATTATCAAAGGTTATGCACATCTATTTGAAGAAACAACAAGGTTATCAATGAATTTGGAATATGAGTATCTTGATCACCTGGAAATTACTTGCATCACTTCAGTGACACCACATATTCATAGTCACAGCCAAAGAAAAAGACATAAAAAAGGTTACTTAATGGTGTTTTAACCCATTAAAAACTACTTTGATATTCCACACCGGAAAAAGTCTATGTAGTAAATGTTTGTAATAATCGAAATTATTTTATTATTATGCAAATCACCATGCATAAAGGAAAGTATTCCTTCTTCATCCTTGAACATTCCCCAAAGTTTAATTTGAAACCTAATTTGCATTCAATTAACATTGTGAAGTTCTACTTACTTTCTACTTTGTTTGCCTACAAGATTTAAATTATAAGAGCAATTCTTTGCTTGTAGAACAGGTGAGAGATGGAGAGTGGTTTCTGCTCCAGTAGCAGATACACAAACCCAGCCTTGATGAACTTTCCCTCCTGCATTTGAGAACTCTGCATTTCTCTTTCAAGGCTGGGCACCAAGACAGACCTGAGCCTCAGTTCTTGTGCTGAGAGAACCTGCCAGCTCTCAATGCTGCCTTCTCTCAGAGCACTGAAAGAAGCAAATTTGGGAAAGACACTGTGAGGAGTCTTGTAACCTCATTTCTGCCTACATCTTTCCCTTCTGTGAGGGAATCAACATGGACAAACTTAATATGCATCAGCAGATCCTTTGTGATGTGTTAGTCTGAGAGCACAGCCACAAACACAGCCTTGAAATACTTTAAATATGGTTTTCAAAGGCTCCCAAATCTAGGATAAAAAATTAGTTGTTTGTAAAGGCTCATGGGATTTTTCTCTTCTGCCAAGGCTGACATGTTGCAGAGTTGAATTTGAAAGAAAGGTACTCCCAAATTCCTCTAGCTTTCTTCAAGGTTGCTTCAGTAAGCTGTTCATTACTGACTTTCTGGACCAGTTCTTGAGAATGTGCTTAGTCAGATATTCAAGACATTGGTAATTCAGGTTTCTCTCAGAAAGGAGGTGTTCTTCCACACCATCTAAAAGGGCTTCCTTCCCAGAAGTTTCTGAGTCATCACTGTTTCCTCATTTATATTTCAAGGATGTACCTAAGCCTAAATGTCTCACAGCATTAAGACTAGAACACCACAAGCATGAACAGATCACAGGTTTCTTTACATTGTTGTTGGGAAGGATGAAAGTTTGACAAGAAAGACTCACAGATATGTATGACTGGCAGAAAGATTTTTGAATGTAGAATCTGAAGAAGGAATAGAAATGAAAGCAGGTTTTGATAGAGAAGAAAAGAATTGCTGATACAGTTTTACTGGATAACTAAGAAGGCAAAGGGTGTGTTAGTTAGAAGGGATTTTATGGCTTAGAGCAAAGGATAAACCCACCTCAAACAAGATGTTTTTACCAAGAAGAAAGATACCACAGGCAAACAAGATTGCCAATGTTGCAAGTAGAAAAAAGGATAGATTTCTGATAGAAAATCAGAATCTTCCACTGCAAGAAAACTGAAAAACAACTTCTAGCCTAAACTGTAACATACTAACTTTTAGTGATTGGAGAATAGTAACATGAATATGGTAATTATAGTAGTTATGACAGGCTATAGGTAAAAGTCAAGGTATAGAATGGTTCTTCTGTATTAAGATGCTGAGCAAAGAAAAGTATATAATGCATTGAAATCAAAATTAAAGAGTCTTTAGGCTTGTTTGCAGCTAGAGCTGACAGCTGTAGGCACAGGCTCTGTCATCACGACCCTGGACTGCTGTGACATCTTGGATGCAAGAAGCCGTCTGGAGTCCCGCATCCCTCGCTACAGCTCTTACACATTCTGACAATTATATTATTTTTCTCAGGAACTTAAAGTTTAGGCCTGTTTAGCAAATATTTTTTTCATTCATTTTCTGCTGGGCATCTACCTGAATTATGCAACTCAGGAAGGCTGAAATATCTAGAAAACAGGTGATTATATTCTCCAGGTTTCTTCCCCTACTGTCACTATGAGGAACTAAACATATACAATACACTGGCGTGTGTCTGACAGCCCAAACCAATCTCAAGTACATCTGAAAAGCTACTCTATGCTGCGTTAATATGCAATTAAGCTCCAGGCCTGTAGATTTTCACAACCATTTCAGTGCCAGAAATGTGTGGGCTGAAATACTTAATCTCATTTGCACTAGAATTCTGAACAAGGCAATCAGCATTTTGGGAATTTCAGATGACTGTCAGGTTGTAACAGTTCTCTCAACAGTGAAAGAACCTGATGATAGGTCAAATCTACAGATCCTCAGGAATAGCTCACATGTTGCCCTGTTCTTTTAAGTTCTTCTAACCTTCCAATGTTTTCATTTTTGTAATGGAGTTTCTTATGCACTTTTCATGTAAATAATGATTGTTTTGCATTCCTTTCTAGAGGAGGAGAAAATTGATGGACTGTTAGTTTAACCAGTGTGGTTAAAGAAGTAGCAATTTCATCCTCCAATCCATGGTCATTTTTAAAATTCTATAAATATCAGAGTTCAGAAATAAATAGCCCTTTTCTTACCTTAGACATCTCAATGTGTGTGTCATTCATTTCATGTCATATTGCAACACTCACACAACAGCCAAACAATATTTTCTACTATTATGAGAAAATAAGGATCATGTAGCAATTTTCTCAATGCATTCATAATAAAACTTGAAGCACTATTTTGCCTTATAAGATATAGCTAATACACATCAATTAATGCATGTTAATCACACTGAAAAGATGCTGCACAGAATCCTTTTAGCTGACACTTGATTATTTATCATTTACTAAATCTCAATGAAGCCTAGTTATTTAATTTTTTTGACTCCTAGTTTGTTCACTAAACAAAAATCAGTGACAATTGCATGTAGTGGGTTCTTGTCCTAATCTACTCTAAAATCTAATCTGAAATTGTAGAAATGCTATTACCTAGAAGTGCTGCAACAGATAAATTATTTCAGTTAACAGTAATACTTTTCAGTTCCTTTCCCTTTTCTACATTCAGAACACATACACTCACAAAGCAGCATCACATTGGTTTTACTGAGAGAAAACAGGAATGTCATCAAAGTGATTTCTTCCCTTAAAAACAGCCACAGTCTTTGGATGATGGATTAACAGAAACCTTTCTGCACTTCACAATAATACGATGTTGAGTACTTGTCAACTAAAAATCTTTTCAATGAAAACAAATCAACCCAAAATATCCTTCTCCAAACCCAACCAATATTAATTCCAGTGAAAAAAAAATTTAAGTAAATCTGAAATTTTAAAATTCCACTTACCAGGAACAAAGCTTCCTTGGACCACCTCCTTATAAGCCCACCAGCCTTCATGGATTTTTGGTGAATTTTGTTGAGCTAGAAAGAAATAATCAAAGAAACTATAAAATTAGGGCAAAACATAGGACTTAATTAGCTAAATTTTAGGAACTTGAAACAGGATACTATCCTGTACAGAAGAGTCACTCAAATTCCTAGGTGATCTTTATTCAATCTATAGAATCCTACTATGCATATGTGTCTAGGAGAACTTTGTCCCTGTTCATCACACAGTAAAATATACTCTGCTTTGGAAGAATTGCAGCATCAGCCTTATTACATGGTTGAGACAATAGAAAGATGGCAATAGCTCGCACCTTGCCAGCAGCAGCCAAAGATTTATTTGTTGCAGAGCATTTAAACAACTTTCTATCCAACAGCATATTGCTAAAGCTTACAGACAATTGTTCTAGGCAATCACTAAAAGTACACATACACCTGATTTAATATTAAGTTGCTTTTTGGTCAAGAGATCATAATATATAGATATCGGCCAATCTTTTACTGGCACACTAAATAGACAGGTTGAAAAAGGCTTTTCTGAGTTTGAACTGGACAGGCAATGGTGTCCAAACCTGCTGCCTTGGCTAAGGTCACCTAAACATTTGGTTTTGGTTGTTCCACAGGCAAATGTGCACTGCAAGAAGTTAGCAAAGCTAGCCAGCACCAGCGTAACACTCAGTTTTGCTCCATACATTTTGTGAGCTATTTTTTGGCAAAAGATTTTCTCGTGTATTTCAACTGAAAAATTCTGGAGCGCCCGCGTCTGTTCCCGCTCTTCAGCCACCCAGGTAGCTTGCCAAAAACTTGCTTGTGACTGGTGTCTCTGACATGCAGCTCTTACAGTGTGGGAGCATCTGGGAGCACAATGGAGGAACACAAGAAAAGGTTTCTCTGATCAATATTCTGAAGGTTGTAGCAACAAAAAGCCTAAGCTTTGTATGAGGTTTGCCCCTGATAAGACTTGTTGCCTAAATGATTTCTCCAAAGTCCTGAAAAGCCAAGAGCAGAAAGGTCTTGATTGCTCATGTTTGCTGCTCTTCGTCATCACTTCTCTTTGTCCTTAAATTGAAATTAGAGCAAATTATGTGGTCAAAATGTAAAGTCACTATTAATTGGAAGTATTTTCAAAGGGTACACAGACATACATGAAGACAAATGTTCAGCTGATCTCCATAAGAGCGAAGAGCTGATACACCAATATGTTCTGCCTTCACCTGTGGTTTGCTTGGTACGTTCCTACTTAGAGCAACTCCCCCTGAACTACAGAAAGCTCAGTCACCTTATGCACCATTTTACTTAGATTTTGGTGTTGTCTTTGTTTTTTTAAGACACTTTCTTTCACTAGGGCCAAATTTTTTTTTACATACATTTGCAGTTACAGAAGATACTGGATTTGACAGCTTTTTGCTGCAGTTTCAATTCTAAATCACATATTATTTAGGAAAAACACAGCTACCCTGGGAAAAGTTCCAGCAGTGTAATAAAAATTGTTGCTGTCATTAAAAATTATGAAGAGGATGTGAAATTCAGGCTAAAAGGGATACAAGATAAAGACCATTAAATACTGTTCTATCAAGTTACAAAACAGTATTTATGATTTAACTGACTGCATATTGCAGAAACAAAAGTAAAACTTGTCAATTAAATGTACTCTAATGAAATGTACTGACAGAAGGACCAATACGCTGCCTTACCAAAATCCAGCCATGCCGGTGGGATAGGTTTCATGTGGATGCAGATTTCTCCTTGCAGAACAGATGTTGTTCCATTAACTGAGTAGTGATGGGTTACACTGAAAGGACTGTTCCACTGTGCACCCTTTACAGTCTGCAGATGAAATTTTCCTCATATTTTAGTTTTTATAACATTGCCTGGAGAACTCCAACTGTGCATGGCTTAGTTGTGCTAGACTGCACTGTACAAACATTTGCAAAATGGCAAATCCCAACCCACAATCAAAATATATGAGCAGAAAATTGTTACTATCCAGTCTGAACCACAATTTTTTTTTTTATCTCAACACTTGCTTTCACATCCTCAGAAGAAGAAGTTCTTAAAGATTCCAAAATGGCAGTAGGAGAGGATACTAAAGAGTTCCAACAAAGTAGAGAGAGCCATAATTCTTCCACTTAAAATTTACCTGGAAATTACACTGCATGTAAGTGCACCTTGTAGTCATATACACAGCTCAAATCATTTCAGCCAGGAAGAGGCATATGCATTTTAGAAGTAGCTGAAAAAATCATATATATGTAGAGAGAGAGCGGTAAAAGCAAGCTAAGTATTCGGGTAGGATGGGTATTTTCAAATCCAGCTGCCTAATATCAGCATTCACCAAAATGTATACAACTGAAAAATAAATTGCTTGTTCCCATTCTGGGGCAATCTGACTGATACATGCCAGGTCCAGAAGAGAAGTATAATCCATTATTTGGAGTTTATATTAAACCAAAATTGAAATATGCTGGCTCTGCAGTTCTGCTTCAGTGGGTTACCCCAATACTTACAATAGCTAATTCCAAAAGGAATAGCAGGAAAAAATATTTTTATTACACTTTTTCATATCTGCTTCATTACTATGGAACAGGCTGCATGAAATGAGCAAGAAACTAGATTATCAAAGCTCTGTACTAAATGTTTGGATGCCAGTGCATTTGCTTCAGCTATCAGAGAAGAGCATGACCTGGCATCACACCACACATTCCTCAGATATCAGATCCTTATGTCTTCAATTCACACGAAAAAGAAACACAGGAAATACAATACTAAACTAAGATGTTGTGCCCTAGCCATATCTAAGGTAGAGCAAGAGCAATGCTAGCAGCACTGTTGATGTACAGAGAACTGAGTCTGCTGAGGAAACCAAGAGGCAAGGCAGGTGGGGTTGTGAGGGGGCAGTTAGCGTGACAATCTCCAGTGCTGTGCTCTTTCCTGAACTCTGAAACCTCAACATTTTATAGCAGTCCAGGCAAAACATCCTGCAAAGTAACGCAGAGAGTGACTGAACACAGATTTCCACTCTGCAGTGCTTGTGAAATCCAGCTTGGTGCCAAAGATTTACTTGCATGGAGCCCACAGGGACTTTACTTAGAAAGGGAAAAAATTTATAAAGCTCTAATTTGTCTGAATGCAGAAGGAAGAAGTCTGGTAAGGCCAGGGAGAAAAGTCTGTCTTGCAGAAACTTCTCCAAAACCATCACTCCAATCTGTCTTATGCAAGTGGGCAAGAGGACTTACCAAAGGGGGAAAAAGCTGTTTCCTATTTCTGACACATAATCAGACCCATACCTGGATTAGCAATGGTACAAGGGAATATAAAATTAGAATGAACAGCCATATGGACAATCCTTGCTGGGAATCCTATCTGGGACACACACACCTGATGCACATACAACACAGGCTCTCTGCAATTGGAGTATTAATACCCATCTGACAGAATGGCTCTGTGCCTGAGTAAACAGGTTCAACCTTATGGCTCAAGGATTCTTGCCAAGGAAATGGATTCTTCCTATGTGCCATCTCGTGACACATGAAAATAGCAAAAAATCAGCATCCTTCTGATTTCAGTTAAACTACTGTACCTCTTCCTGAAATTCTTCCACCCAAGGACATATAAAGAGACACGTGGTCTCTCTGTGTGGCCTCTGACACCAGAACACTGCAGCTCCTCCATGGCAGCAGCTCCTTGTTGGCAGGGGGGAGATAAAAGGTCTAGAAAGCAATCCTGTATTCCTGAAGAGGGTTAAATATCTTAAAAAACAATAAAACCCCACACTGTGATACCTCCAAGGCTCCTGCTTTTACCACTAAAACCCAGAGTATGGCTTTTGCTTCCTAGAAACTGTTGGTTTTGCAAGACATGAAAATAAACAAGCCCCTCTGAACAGACACTGAAGGTTACCTGCACAAGGAGCTCTGCAACCATTTTTAGCAGCAGCACTGCATTCTGCCATTAGCAGGAACAGTCCAAAATGACAAAGTTGTCCAAGTGCTTGAGGATACTGAATGACCTCCATTTGTTCAGTGCTCCCTCCTCTAGCACTGAAATCTGGTATCTGAGATTAGTAGCTTTGCTGATACAACACCATTATGTCAGATCTCTTTCAATAAAGCTGCTGCAGAGGAAACAGAATATTTATTTGAAGCTCATATGACATGTGTTGCTTTCATTCTGTCAGATTACTGTAGGTATGTCTCATTGTGGAGCATACAATTACAGGCTAAATTCTGCAAGTTGTTGTGTGTTGTGTGTTGTGTGTTGTGTGTTCTTATTTCCTAGTGGCTTCCATGCACAAGGAAACAGCACAGTATAGGATCATAAAAATGAACAGTAAATGCAAACAGCAAAGGTGCCAACGACCCATAAAGTCAGCAGTTAACTCTCTCGAGCTTAGAGGCTAAAGTGAGTAGCCTCATGTTTCAGAAACGAAAAGCTCTTACTAGGTGAGTAAATGCATTTTAAAATGATCAGATAGCATTGTATTGGATACCAGGTATCACAATGCAGTTGCTGGAATGCCTGCACAGCATTTGCAGTGCTAAGAATTCTTCATCTTGCTGGAATGCTGATGTTGACATTATATAAAAAGCTGCAGTGAATACAGAACGCTGTAAATAAACTGCCGGCGCACACCATTCTACAATTACTTATTTACGTTCTATACTTTCATGAATCATAGAAAGGCTTTTATCTGATGGCACCGTTTATGTCACTCACATATGAGCCTGAGCCAAGAGTAGAACCCTGCCAGATCAGAATTCTCCATTCACTTTACTGCCATTTCACACAGATGAAAAATGCTAGGCTTGCAGCAGTTAGGAAAAGGTCTTTCCTCACCTGGATTTTATTGATCTGAGCTCTTCTGACTGCTCTATCAATTATTCTGCAGGTTTATCTCATCTTACACCATAGAAGCCTCGCTAATAACCTGACACTATTGGCCTGGCAGTAAGTATATGACAACATTTTTATCATTGTTACCCCTCTGCATAGTTATGAGTTCATTAAAAATAAAACCAGATGCAACTATAAGCCAT